GAATACTAACATTTCTGGAATAACGTAACTTTAAATGCTTTAATTTTTAAAGAAAGATTTTGCTGCTCACCGATCGGTTATTGCTTGCTCTAGTTCAGGACTATCATAGGAACGTGCAATTTCCTCAAGTCTATAAAGAAGAAATATGTACGACTGATTAAACCAATACATACACGGAAACATATTCAAGTTATAGGATATATAACAAATTGTACAAAGATGAAATTGTTGATATCTAATACCTGTTCAACTCCTCGACAGGTGGATTTTCAACACTTCTTTTACGTTTTTGAATTAGCGCTTGAGCAGTAGGGTTGCCAAATTTGATGTGGCCAAGAATTTTTTTCTTTGCCATGACTTTGTTACTAGGAAATTGTGAGAGAAATATGTACAGTCTTATTGAGGTGTTTATTTAGATCTAGAGGCTAAAACCTTCTTGTTGGAGAATGCATTCTTTTCTTTTCTTTTTTTGGTTGTTTGGGAGGGAGAGAGAAAGAGGGAAGAAAATTAGTCACTATAGTAGTAAAAATCCTATCTTGGACACATCAATATTTTAATTGGTCAAGGATATATGACGTCTGGCATTTTTACGTCATCAAGTTGTAAAAGATATATATCCTTAAAATATTGGAAGAATATTCAATTAGAATTTAAGTAGTCTAGATAAGAACAACTATTAATAATTCAACTACTTTCAGGTACGAAGTTTTAAGAGTGGTGACCATTGAGTAAAAGAACGCCTTGGATGGATCCAAAGTAGCATTTAATTTTATTTTACTACTTTTTGTGACTTGAAAATTTGTAAGACGAAGAAAATTAAACTTGTATAGACTTTAATTTTTTTAGTATTTTCAATTAGATTAATCTTGATAGCACAACATCCAACCATGGTTTCAACCAATGTTTTAAAACTCGGATTGTTAATTGAACCGGTGAAGTGTTCGGATCAAGATTCAACCGATCGGACCGATTCAACCTTGGTTCAATAAATTTTTTAAAAAATAATTTATATAAATATATATATATATACACACACACACACACACACAAAATAAGACATGCAATGGATTAATTTAAACTTTTATATGATGAAAAGTTTAATATTTTCAAAAAACTTGGATTTTCAAAAATAAATCTTTTAAATTATAAGTTGAAACAAATAAATTTCATTTCAATCTCAATTATATCTACAAAAAAAATAATCTTAAATCCCACCCAAAAATATCACTATATTTTGAAATTATACAAAATTCACATATATGGGAATTAGACATTGTGAGTTTAAATTTTAATTCACGTTTTTTGGATTTAGAGATTGCATCTTAAAAAAAAATTTGGAGTTTGGAGTTCGGAGAAAGTCAGGAGAATCGAAAATAGAGATGCAAACTTGATAAGAAACAAAAAAATGAGATGAAAGTGAGTGGTTGTGGTATTTAATAATTAGTTTTTATGGTTAAAAACAATTATTTTTAAAAAAATTTTCAATTTAATAGGCAAAAACAAAATTAAAAGATGGAAGAAAACATCAATAAATTAAAACTAAAAAACTTTGATTAAAAAGGGGTGACAAAGGAAATGAGGAGAGAGTTGAAAATTACAAAGAAATATTTATGAGGGCATGAGATTTTGTAGGGAAAACGGAAGAAAGAAAGATGGAGATTTATTTTATATAAACGTGGTATAATACGAGACTAAGTGAATGTGATGGTGCAATGGTTATTATGTTGATCTTGTGTAGCAAAGGTCTTGAGTTCAATTCTTACTAGTCACATTTTGCAAAACTTTAAAAAAATATTGAGAGAAAACTAAAAAATCAGAAATTGTTGGTTCGATCCGGTTTATCGGGTTTGACGGTTATGACTGGTTCTTGGACAATTTCAATTGTAACATAGAATCGGACCCATGTCATGATCAGTTTGTAGTTCAACCGGTTGAACCGGCCGATTCGGTCCGATTCTCAAAACATTGGTTTCAACAAGAAATCTAGCATAAACAACCTTATCTTATCCCATAAACATTTTTAACCATCATGTAAATATTGTAAAAGAACATCAACCTAACAAATATATGCTATTGAGTGTAGTCACTCATTCACGAAAAGATGAAGTCATACAAAAAATCTTAAAAGGTTTATGAAATTGATATCCCTAAAAAAATAGTTGAACTACAGAAAAGTAGAAAAATGGATCAAAATACTTGACGTTCATTTGGTAGATTACAAGTATGGAATCAATGGCATGGACTCATGTTTGACAGCCTATTGTATTTTATGGGGTGATCATCTCCAAACAATATAGTATAAGAAAAGCTAAGATCAATATTTAAAGACAAAAGAACATCAAATGTAAACAATTAGTCCCATAAAATCTTGATAAAAAGTGATATTAAGAGAGAGGACATAATATGATTTTATTACTCCACATCTATTAAATTGTTTAATTAATTTAATATGTGCCCAAGCATTAAAGAAAACACTTTAGTTTGCTGTTTATCATCAGGGATTAAATTACATATGGTATCAAAAATAGTTTATTATCTTTATATTTTAATGTGTAGATTGGTATTAAATTTAAATTAATTATATAATGCCGTAGATGAGGAACAATGATGGAATCATATTATCTTCTCTCTGCTAATATCACTTTTTAATCATCAATTGGGTCTAAATGTTACAAAATAATTAACTTCAAGAGAGGTTAGTGTAATTTTTTATATTTGAAAGGAAACCAGTGAATAGTCAAAAACCTCATGAGAGGTTTCTGAAATTATCCCTATCTATAATAATTCGTTACACTGAATAAACTCCCCATTTTACAGTCTTGCAAAATGGATGTTGGAGACAGCCATCTGAATAACTTTATACGGCCCAAACAGTGGTTTATTTCATGGATCATTCAAGAACTAGTAATTGTTTATTATTACCGACCAAAATCATATTTACCAATTATCATGTGGAGAACATCATTAATGTTAAAAGGAAACATCATTCGCAGTACTTGTTTTATTGAGAATTCCTTTCCTTTTCCATGCTACTTTATTTTGGTCAGCAAACAAGAGAAAGAAGTGAGAGAATTCCTTTCCTATCTCTTGGAGATATCGTAGGAGCCTAGGAATAAATTAGTCCCACACTGCAAGTTGTTTCGTTCTATGTATAAACTTTAAAGTTCAAGAACTCCCTTGGATAGGGAAACAAAATCTAAATAAAATTAGGCATTTTTTTCCAGAAAAAAGAGAAAATTATTTTAGCATTCATTATTTTGGCATAATAAAAAATTTGATGGTCAGATTATTTTCTTTAGATATCTATTATTGGTACATAAAAGTTTCTGGATATGACATCTTCATTATCGAGTGATTTAGCTACATGAATTCAACCTGATTTATTTGTTGCGAAAGTAACCACTAAGCAACAGTCAATCCATAAAGATATATTTATTGACATTGTTTCCAAAACCAGAGTCCTACAAAACTACATTCATAATAGGATTAATATTAGATACTGGAAAATTTAAGATACACTTTTTCTTGCACTATTTCCTTAAGATAGAGGAAAAGCTATTAGCACCACACATTCAATGAACAAGCCTAATCACTTTGACTTAGCTTCCTAATTGTTCTGAAGCTATTTTCATATGGCATCTTTAGACTCTTTCCTTTGTTTTTCACCATAGTCGCTTGAAAAAATGATATATACCATCCCATCCATTTGCTGCAAACTCCCAGCCAAAAAAAAAAAATGCATTAGATAATTGCTAAAATAAGAAATGTAAAATTTCTTTCTGATTACTTGCTGCGACCTCATTAAATGTAATTTTCATGCATTATATGAGCACAATTTAACCTACATTCAATATTTCATTCTATGGGAGATGCAATTTTATAGGATATGTTCCCTATAAGTACTCTTAGTTTGAAAATTTTGGAAAAGGTAGCAATTTTATACTCCAAGTCTTGATAATGGTCACTATATTAGTTAAGAATTGATTTTTTTTTTCTCTTGGCTAAAGAAATATGTAGTATAATTTAAGGAGTGGAAAGGCACAAATTTGAACCTTAACAGTGCTTAGAAAATGAAACATGAGATTTTTCTTATTTGGTTACTCGGAAAGAAAAATTTTTGGCACTAGGGTATGAAGTCACTGCATTAAGATTGATAGGGTAAACATGTATATATATATGAATTTCTTGGTGTGAAATGGTCAATTCTTATAGTTGTACATTTATTTGCTTACTTATAGTCAATCTGTGAGCACCTATAGATAAGGATTGAACATAATGTCATAAAAAATAAGTTTTTTTTTTGTTTAGACACTTTCTTATATATAGAGACATTGATTTCTCTTGGAGAACTTTTGAATAATGATGATCCGTCATCTAATGTGGACTGGCAAATCTGCTGTCAAAGAAACGTCGTTGTTCATCAACTTTCTTGTGTAAAGAAATCTTTATATGATGAATATTGTCCAATATTTGAGAATAGCTAAATATACTCTTTTATGGCTGCATTGATTGAACAACACTCAATTAGGTATTATGATGTATTATCAATGATTGGTACCAGAACACTAGAAACTTTAAAGAAGAATTAATTTTAGATAAGTGCATAATTTTGTTGGTTTTTCTAGCTGATTATGTTTGGCAAGTTCATCATTGGCATAGCGGGATAGATTTTTGGGGGGGGGATAGTTATTTAACTGATTTAATGTCCATATTCTCGCCATAATTAATATTTTTTCATTGTTCTACTTGATAAATGAAGTAAATGAAGCCTTGCATAAATTAGACATTTTTTCCAAAAATAAAAATATTGTAGGGATCATGACTGACAAAACTTCATTCATCATAGAATTAATATTAGATACTGAAAAGGTTTATGAAACATATTTTCTTGTGCTATTAGCACCACACATTCAAGGAAGAAGCCAGATTACTTCGACATAGCTTTCTAATTGTTCTGAAGCTATTATCATATGGCATCTTTAGACTCTTTCCTTTGTTTTTCACCATACTCGCTTGAAAAAACGACAGATATTATCCCAACTGGTCCATTTCCTGCAAAAAAACAAAAATCAAAATGTATTATATAATGGGTTAATCACATTTTATCCCCTTAAAGAATACCCCATTTCTCAGTTTACCCCCTAACTTTTAATTTTGCTCACTTAACCCCTTTTAGGACAAAATTGCCCTTGCATTATTTTGACTTTTCATTTACCTTGTTTTTCTTTCTTTTATTTCTTTTTCTCTTTCTTCTTTATTTAATTTTTCCTCTTTCCCACAAAAATTTTCACCTTAATGATTGAAATTAAAAAAGAGGAATTGCAGAGATCTATCTTCTCCTTAAATGATTAAAAAAATATTCAAATCACTTCCCTAAAATACAATTTTTTTAGCCTTTCAATTCTTTTAATTTTGGGTTTTCCTCTTTCCTTTCTAGTTTCTCATTTTATTCTCAAGAAAATATCATAAGATGAAATTGTTTTTCTTTCTTTTATTTATTTTTCTCCTTCTTCTCTCTTTCATCCTTCCCAATAGAAATTCTATTTCAACGACAATTTTTGTTTTGAGTTTGTAATTGCATATTTCTGGGTGAAGATTTAAAAGGCATCAAAAACTAATTTTGATTTTTTGTATGATGCAACGTCTCACAAATTTCAATTGATGATTATTAATCAGGTCACAATTTCATCTTAAGATATTTTCTTGCGAATAAAATGAGAAACTAGAAAGGAAAGAGGAAAATCCAAAATTAAAAGAATTGAAAGGCTAAAAAATTGTATTTTAGAAAAGTGATTTGAATATTTTTTTAATCATTTAAAGAGAAGATAGATCTCTGCAATTCCTCTTTTTTAATTTCAATCATTAAGGTGAAAATTTTTGTGGGAATGAGGAAGAATTAAATAAAAAAGAAAGAGAAAAAGAAATAAAAGAAAGAAAAACAAGGTAAATGAAAAGTCAAAATAATGCAAGGGCAATTTTGTCCTAAAGGGGGTTAAGTGAGCAAAATTAAAGGTTAGGGGGTAAATTGAGAAATATGATATTCTTTAAGGGGATAAATGTGATTAACCCTTATATAATTGCTAAACTAAGAAATTTAAAATTTTTTTCTCATTATTTATTGTGGTCTCATTACATGAACTTTTCATACATTAAATGAGTACAATTTTAACCTACATCCAATATTTCGTTCTATAGGAGATGTGATTTTTATAGGATAAGTTCCTTGTAATTACTCTTAGTTTGAAAATTTTGGAAAAGTTAGCAACTTTATACTCCAAGCCTTGACAAAGTTCATTGTATTAGTTAGGAATTGATTTTTTTCTTTTGGCTATAAGGAATACGTAATACAATTTAAGGACTGGAAAGCAGGAAATTTGAACCTTAACAATGTTTGGAGAATGAAGCATAAGATATTTCTTATTTGGTTAGTCGGAAAGCAAAATTTTTGACACTAGGGTGTGAATATGTAAGGAAACATGTATATATATGAATTTCTTGGTGTGAAGTGGTCAATTCTTATAGTTGCTCATTTATTTGCCTACCTATAGTCAATCTGTGAGCTGCTAAGGATAAGGATTGAATAATAATGCCTTCAATAATAAATATGTTGTATTTCTCTTAGAAAACTTTTAACTGTCAAGATTTAATTAAATGCAACTTTGTAAGCTAGTAGTGAGGTCTTTTTTTTTTTTAAGGTCGATTTATTATCTTCCATTAGCACTTATATATGTGCATAACTATGTATTCAAGATTTTGGAAATTTAATCATGAGTAATCAATTGATGGCAATGCATGTACACCGAACCTGAGCATTTTCAGCATCTTGCTTCTGTTTTCGACTTCCCTGAAAATGATATCAAACAATAAAAATGGATTCTTCTCCAGCTTAGAAACTAAAAAAGTTGATATGATTCATTCCAAGTCTAGTGTTAAATGTCTTTGTATAATATGTTAAACATAAAGTTTTAGAATATCTCAAACATGGAATTAAGATGAACTATATGAGATCTGCAATAGCAAATAAATCATCATACTCTGAGGGTGACCTGCTGTTCTTTGTCTGCAAAAAGCAAACATAATGCGTCCTGCAATTATAATCAACATAATAAAATTATACAATAAAAAAATGAAAAACTGACTTCAAAATTCTAAAAAAAAAGCAAAGGTTGATTCTTAAAATAAATAATACTGACATTATTGAAATAATGTAAATTTAAATGTTTTATTTTTAATGAAGGATTTGGTTACTCACAGATCGGTTGCAGCTTGTTTTGCTTCAGGGCTATCATAGTAACGTGCAATTTCCTCAAGTCTATAAAGGATGAATATATTCAAATGATTAAACTAACTCAAAAACATAATCAAGTTACAGGATATATAACAAATTGTACAAAGATGAAATTGTTGATATCTAATACCTGTTCAGCTCCTTGATAGGTGGATTTTCAACACTTTCTTTACGTTTCTGAATTAGTGCTTGAGCAGTAGGGTTGCCAAATTTGATGTGGCCAGGAATTTTTGTCTTTGCCATGACTTTTGTTACTAGGAAATTGTGAGAGAAATATGTACAGCCTTATTGAGGTATTTATTTAGATCTAGACGCTAAAACCTTCTTGTTGGAGAATGCAATCTTTTCTTTTCTTTTCTGGTTGTTGGGGAGGGAAAGAGAGAGAGAGAAGAAAATTAGTCAATACAGTAGTAAAATCCTACCTTTGACACATCAATATTTTTAGTGGTCAAGGACATATGACGTCTGGCATTTTTACGTCATAAAGTTGTAAAAGATATATATCCTTAAAATATTGGAAGAATACTTAAAATTTAAGTAGTCTAGACAAGTACAACCATTAATAATTCAACTGCTTTCTGGTACGAAGTTTGGAGAGTGATGACCATTGAGTAAAAGAACACCTTGGATGGATCCAAAGTAGCATTTAGTTTTATTTTGCTACTTTTTATTACTTGAAAATTTAGAAGACAAAGAAAATTAAATTTATAAGACAAATAATAGTAGAGTTTGAATCTGATCAATTTGAGTGCTATTTGACATATGCTAAAAACAATTCTTTCTTTATTTTTTTTAGTATTTTCGATCAGATTAGCCTTGATAGCACAACACTCAACCATGGTTTCAACAAGAATTTGAGAATCGTTAACAAACTAGTATACACATCCTTATCTTATCCCATAAATATTTTTAACCAGCACGCAAATATTGTACAAGAACATCAACTTAACAAATATAAGCTATTGAGCGGAGTTACTTATTCATGAAAATATGAAGTCATACAAAAAATTTAAAGGGTTTATGAAATTAATATCCCTAAAAAAATAGTTGAACTACAGAAAAGTAGAAAAACGAATCAAAATACTTAATATTCATTTGACAAATTACAAGTATGGAATCAATGGCATTGACTCATGTTTGGTAGCCCATTGTATTGTATGGGGTGATCATCTCCAAACAATGCGGTATAAGAAAAGTTAAGATCAATATCTAAAGACAAAAGAACATCAAATGTAAACAATTATTCCTATAAAATCTCGATAGAAAGATGCTTTATGACTATTAAGTATTATATCTTAATCATTGCTCTCTATTTGAACAAGCATCTATTATTAAGATATTAGGCTCAAATGATGATAGCTCATTTCATAAAATATACATTTGAGTTGTTAATCAAATGATATGTTGCTTGTTGAGTGGAACACATTTGAGTTATTAATCAAGAAATTCACAACTTTCATAAGTGAAGTGACTGACAAAAATTATAGGTGTTACAGAGTTGCTTGATGTGCCCGAATTATCATGTTTTTATATCCCTCTATCACTACAATTTATGCATATTTTATCTTTAGAAGTACTACTTAAGGTATAATTTATGATTGGATAGGTTAAACAGCACTTAAAGTGAAAATAATGCAAAAGAGAAGTTTAATTTGGAAGGAGAATGCAAAATTCATGAAGGCACACGGCCTGTCTAAGTTTGAAGTTGATTTTATTCAAATTGACAAATTAACTGATGATGGGCGCCCGTCTTACAACCTACCTTAGGGCCCAACATTGTTTGGACATGCATTTTCTTAGATTTAATGCACCTATTCAATTACAACACAAAACTCTACCTCCTAGCACTATAAATAGAGGGTTTTGATCGATTTTAAAAGGGTAAGAAGAAGAATGGCTACTTTCTTATATGCTACATTCTTAGGAGTAGATTAGAATAAGTGGAATTAGAATTTGGTTATGAACATCTCTATTTCTCTCTTGAGGGTAGCATTTAGCTAATTCTATATTTGAGCCAAGGATCAAAATCTTTATTCTAATGATTGTGAAACCGGATTTGATCTTTTCAATCTTTAATTTGCTATGCATGATTCCTTAATTTATATTCTATTTTGTTATATGTATGATAGAGTAAATGACCAATTATTCTCCATATGTGTATTCTTCATGCCAAAATACTAATCTTGATCCGTAATTGTCTTGTGTTAGTACTTTTATGTGGCAAATAAGGCTAACAATTCATTGTTCTCTTTGTGAAGCCTGAGGAGGAGTTATAGGGTGTTCATTAAATAATTGCGTGTATCATGGGTTATTGTCATCTTTGGTTGATTCTTGATTATTATGCTATTATTAGGTTAATTTGAGATTGCGTCAATTAGGGGTGGAGTCGAGCTCGAGTAGTACCATACTCGAGCTCGAGTAGTACCATACTCGAGCTCGAGCTCGAAGGTTATGAGTACTGCTCGAGCTCGAACAAGCCTCAAATTTTGGACTCGAACTCGACTCGATGTAATTAAAGATAACTCGAGCTCGAACTCGTATAAGATTCGAGCTCGAGTACTCGAACTAAGCTCGTAAAATGAGCTCGAAAACATTTGTTTTCTAGACCAGAATTCAGCAAAATTTGAGCGCAAAAAACTGTGCTATCCTTCAATATAGCAATTCATATTAAAACATGCATTTTGCTTCATTTCAACGCAAATGCCAACCATGTGATTCAAGCACTCTAAAAGCAATAGTATCAAACTAGTTAATATGATAGAAAAAATGATAGTTTCTCAATAGCCAAAATAGCCATGTAAGCAAAAGAAATAGAGAACTTGATATTAATAGTATTTAGTCACAATACACTGAACTCTGTACGATTTGAGATCAAGTTCTCAATACAACATTCTATTAAGATCCATTGCCAAGATTCTATACAGCAACTCATGTACAGATTTTAGTCAAAAATCAAAATACAACCTGGTAGTAGCTATACAACATTCACTTGAGTCAAAAAAATCACCAGATTCACTATAGCTATGCAAATTTGAGTCCAAAGTCAAAAGTCAAAACACAACTTGGCAGCCACAGCTTGTCAACAGTCAAAAAAATCTCCAGATCACCAAAGTTGTACAGATTTGAGTCAAAAAAGTCAAAACACAACTGGCAACCACAGCTTGTCAAGTGTCAACATTCGCTTGAGTAAAAAAGTCACCAAATTCACTATAGCTGTACAGATTTGAGACAAGTCATTTGAGATGTTAACTGCATAGAGTTCAGATTCCAAAATTCCAAGTTTCTAACACCTATTGCCAACCAAAAAAATATAAGTCCTGTCAAATATCACCAAAGACAAAAAATGAATCAAATTAAGGTACAAAATTATCAAGAACTCTAGATAACCACAATGCCAAACCTGATTCAAAATGAGCCCTTTGCAATAGACCTTCAAATCTTGGGCAATTCAATTTCTTTGATTATTTTAGCTTGCTGCATTTACAATAAAAACCACCTAAGGCAAATAATTTAGAAAGAAAAAAAGTCATAACTTGTTGAATTTGGCCACAAAAGTTGAATGATAAAACAATAAAACTTACTTTCACTTTCTTTGAGATCCCGTGAAGCTTTCTACACTAGTCCCCTGCACACAACAACACTTGAACCGTATCTGGATGAAAGGAAGCACGATAGCTATCAATAACTCGATTTCCGGCACTAAATGTGGCCTCAGATGCCACTGTAGTTACAGGAATAGCCAAGATGTCAGCCACCATTTCGGACAATATTGGATACGCAACCCTATTGCTTTTCCACCACTCCAAACAATCATAGGCATTTGGGTCGGAACCAGTCTTTAGGCGAGCCTTTTCTAAATAATCCACCAATTGAGATTTTTGTGGCTCAGTAGTCTCCATTTCGTCACAGTACTCATCAAAGTCAACCCACCTAGAAGAAGATGTTGCATTTTTTTGTGGCCCTTCTGAAGCACATGAGTGGACTGCATTTTCATTTCCAGTTGCATTCAAATCTGCATACTCATCATAAAGCTCAAATAAAGCTTTCTTCACGCTAAAAATATGTTCTTGTGCCTCAAAAGATGGAAACATTTGAGGGAAGGCAAACTCAACAACTCTCATTTTCTGCCTTGGATCTAAAATGGCAGCAATAGCCATTAACAAATTGCATTCGCCCCAATATTTGTCGAACTTGGCCTTCATCTTTCTAATCATAGCTCGGATGAAGTCATTTTCATCATTTGCTCGAGAATCTAAGACTTTCTTAATTTTCACAACCTCTTGAAGGAACAAATTGCTCGTAGGATATTCACTCCCGGATATCACATGCGTGGCTGCCCAAAATTTCTCTAACACAGAGCACACTTTTTCTGCTTTTTCCCAATCCTCATAAGCTGGACAGGAATCGTAGAGTGGATCTCTATCTTGAAAATGAGGAAAAACATCTTTGAACTTCATAGCACAGCTTAGCATTTCGAAGGTGGCATTCCATCTTGTTCGACAATCATAAAGCAACTTCTTCCCGGGTATTTGAAGTTGTTGTGCAATCTCAGTGAACAACAATAATCTGGTCTCCGAGCGATTGACAAAATCGACGCTGTCCCTAATTTTGTTTACAATGTCCGCAATCTCAGAAAGGCCGACTTGAACAATAAGGTTTAAGATATGCGCACAGCATCGAACATGAAACAACTTGCCCCCACCTAATAGTTTCTTCAATCTACTAAAATCATCCCGCAAAACTCTAATAGCCACATCATTGGCTGAAACATTGTCAACTGAAATTGTGTGTATTTTTTGCTCAATACCCCAATCCTTCACACACTTGAAGAGTGAAGCAGCAATCTCAACCCCTCGTCTAGGAGGTGGTATGTGAACAAAGTTGAGCACTCTCTTTTGTAGCTTCCAATCCGAGTCAATCCAATGGCCAGTAATAACCATATATTCGATCTTTTGATTTTTGGATTTCCAAAGATCGGTTGTGAGGCTCACCTTTTTCACATTTCTCAACTTTTTCTTCAGCTTCTTTTTCTCAAGTTCATAGACTGCCACACAATCATTTTTTGCTACTCCTCTAGTGATCTTTTGCCACTCGGGCATGCCACGCTTTAGGAAAATATTCAAACCTTCATCTTCAAGAATGGTGAAGGGATGTTCGTGCATCACAATCCAATGTGCAGCGGCTTCTCTCATTTTCTCCATGTCAAATTTTCCGGTATGCAAAGGTGGTATAGTAGGAAATGCATCATCAGCCGGCTGAAAGTTCAGTTTCGTTTGTTGTGCAGCTTGTCTTAAACTTGTTTTTCTAGATGGACATGAGTTTCGGTGCCGCCATAAGCTAGTTGTTTGCTTTGATTTACCCCTCGATAGCTTTTTATTGCAGTAACGGCAAATGGCATAGTAATTGCCATTTTCTTCAAATTCGTTGAAGTCCTCCCAAGCTTCAGAAGTTTTATTCTGTTTTGGAATATGGAATTCATCATCTTCACCTAATTTATCATTTTCTCCTTCTTCATTGTTATCGTCAGTAACCACAACTTCTTGTCCTTCTTGTATATTACCCAAAGGAGTACTTTGTGTAATTGGATTAGTCATCATGTTTCCTGGATTCATTGTTGACTCATTGGAGACAAATATTGGGTTGTCCAATATCAATGGAGTACATGAATCAGCATTGGAAACCAGTGGGATACAAGAAATCTCGGGTTGACTGCCCTTGTCTTGGGTTGACATCAGTCCATAAACACATGCAGTCCAAGGTTCCAAGCTAAAGAAAGACAACAAATTTTCAAATCAGGGCAAGGAAATTTTCAAGCTAAAGAAAGACACATCCATTAACGGAGGCTTTCACCATGAATTTCAGAAGCTTTTAGGGTGTAAACAAAACTATTTAAAAAAAAACCTTGCTCCGATAATTATTTAGAGAAGTTTTAGGCATATGAATTAAATAAAGAATACATTTTTTGAGGTTCTGCTGATAATTCTTTTCAGTAATGAAAAGATTAAACCTGCCACATTTCATTAATCACACTTTGATCATCAACAAATGTATAAATCTGTATTAATCACAGTAATCAGATGCTATGATATACTCTTCCTACATTTTTTTCAAAGGCTTAAAATAAAAACAACTTTCAACTGTCTCAAATATCTTTTGACTTATGCTAAAGGGAAAAGAAATTTCATACTTGTGTTGCTTCATCCCTGTTTTTTATCATACTTGGTAAATCCATACATACCAGCCTTTATACTTGTGTTGCTTCATCCCTAACTTTATACTTTTGTTAGCTAGGACCAACTAAACCAATTATAGAAAGTTCAAATATTGTTCTAGATATGCAAACATGGAGGTCAGATGACACGTACTGAAGAAAAACTTTAGGAGTTCCATTCTTAGAAACATGAACAATATGAAATCAGCAATGCTCATTAATCAATATGGTTGTTTCTTAGCTTTTGCAGGGTATCATGCTGTTGATGTGCCTTGGCAGCATTCAGACCTTTGCCAACAGGCTCAAGAGAAAACAAGTGATTCCTCTAGCAAAAAAAAAAAAACCTTGCTCGTATCCAATTTATGAGAAATTGCACAGAAAGACAGAAATAACAAATCAATCTTTAACCCAAAATTCTCTCTTTGAAGACTCTTCACTAAACAGCCAGTGGGTGGCAGAGATTCAAGAGAAGGAGAAGAAAAAATAAAAGGTCGGAGAAGACGAGGAGGCTTTCATATCAGATGCACGGGTTGTGGTGACCAAATCTAAATACAGTAACCAACAATTTCAGCAACAAGCTTAAAATACAAATTTTCCTCACGTTTTCCTTACCAGTATGCTTAAATGCTTAATACATAATACAACCAAGTTCTTACCCGCATGCTTAATACATAAATTCAAAAAGGAGATAAGGAGATTCTGAACTTACAGGCGGATTCAAAAGCTACCGGCAATGGATAAGCAAATCAATAGCTGCTCTGCGAAGCTTCAACGAGCTAGCAACAGAGACACGACTTGGGAGTTGGAAAAAGGAAGAAAGGTTTGATGGGAAATGGGAAATGGGAAATGGGAAGTGGGAAGTGGGAAGTGGGAACTGGCTGAAAGGCTAGAAAGGCTAGAAAGGCAGAAAGGCTAGAAAGGCAGAAAGGCTACAAAGGCTACAAAGGCTTGATGGGAAGTCTGGGCGGGAAGTAGGAACTTGTTGACTATTCTTTTTAGTATAATTATCACTTCACCCATAATTATTCCTCAGAATTTATTTACTTATATTAATCATTTTATATATTTTTTTATTTTTTTTTGTGATACTCGATAGAGCTCGTCGAGCTTTCGAGTATCAAATTTGTGGACTCGAACTCGACTTGATAGCTCTATCGAGAAGCTCGAGCTCGATCATATCGAGCTCGAGTTGAGCTCCTCGACTCAGCTCCACCCCTAGCGTCAATACCTAGGCTGTCTAATAACAAGAATACAATTTGAGTATATCATTCTAATTGTTGAATTTAGAGAATCTATGAGTTATTACTGACGTCTAGGCTAAGTTAGGCCAAATAGTTGATTAAAGGTTGAATCTTTAGGAGTTGATGATCAATCGGAATAAAAATCTTCATGTCCTTGGTTTGGCTCGTTGTTTATTACTTTTATCTTCTATTGTTATTATTATTGTCTTCATTTTAGTTGTAGTTTTAATTATTCCAATCTACTTTTTACTATTTTAACAAAGGAAATCGAAGGTTTCAGCAATTTCCTGTGGGTTCAACCTGGACTCCCACTACTAAAAGTTTTAAAAATTCAGTAATTAATTTTGGCACTTGCGACAAGTGATTAAAATTTTGGCACTGGTGCTGGGAAACAATATTAACTTTTATTTTTCTTTTGTTAATTTTTGCATATTTTTGTTTCCAATTTTATTATTTTTATTGGCCACAAGTTTCAGGTGTATCTTATCTTTAAAGGAAGCAATGGCTGGTGCTTTTGGTCTGGAAGGGACACTTTCTGATTTGCCCTCTATGGTTCACCAATTAGCTGAGATGAATATGCAAGCAGTAGACGTTTGTAGAGTTTGTTCATTGGCAACACATTTTACAAACATGTGCCCACTACTTCAAGAAAACCCATATGAGCATGTTCAATTTGGGGAAAGCATGCATGATCCACCCCAAATGAAATATAACCCTTATTCATATACGAATAATTCGGGGTAGGAAGGGTATCCTAACTACATCTATGGAAGTCAACCAACTCAAGGTTCCTACCAGTATTACTTATTTCCACATCAAGGACCAATTCAACAAGAAGTGCTAGATTATTCAGGTACTAATGCCGGTTCATCTCTAGAGGACATGGTTAAGTCGTTAGCTAGTTTCACTATGCAATTTCAGCAAGAAATGACACAATTTTAGCATGAAACAGCACAATTCCAATGTTTAACTCAAGCAAGTATTCAAAATTTGGAAACTCAAATTGGACTGTTAGCCACACCTATAGCTGATTTACAAGCTTAGAACTCACGAAATTTGCTATCTAGCCTATAGTAGATCCTTAGGATAGTGTTAGTGCACTGATTTTTAGAAATGAAAAAGAGTTGAAGCAGCCTGCTCAAGGAGAGCAGGAGTCGGAATCTCATTAAACCATATCAATAGAGGAAGTGGAGGATTTACCAATAGTAAGTGACAGTAAAATTAATGTTTCTAAACCTAATATTGTCATTCCTTCTCCTTTCCCGAGCAGATTAGTGAAACTAAGAAGGATGAGGAAGGGCAAGATCTTGATGTGTTTTGCAAGGTGAAAGTTAACATTTTATTGCTTGAGGTGATTAAGCAAGTTCCAAAGCATGCAAGGTTCCTTAAAGAGCTATGTACTACAAAGAGGAAGTTCAAGAGGAATGAAAAGGTGGCTGCCTCGACCATGACCCAAAAGAAGTTATCCCCAAAGCATAAGGACCTAGGTATGTTCACAATTCCTTGTGCTATTGGTAATGCTCAAATTAAACAAGTTATGTTAGACCTAGAAGCACCTATCAATGTCATGCTTTTGTCAATGTATTCTTCTTTGAATTTATGTCCTTTAAAAGAAACTAGAGTCGTTATTCAACTGGAAGATGGATCTAATGTTTACTTTGAAGGGGTATTGGAAGATCTTCTTGTGCAGGTTGATAGATTAATTTTCTAAGTGGCATTTATGTTTTGAACATAGAGGATGATAAGTCTCCAAATCCAGCACCTATTTTACTTGGAAGACCCTTCTTGAGGATTGCTAAAAATAAAATTAATATAATGGTACATTGACCATGGAGTTTGATAGTGAGATCATTAGATTTAATATTTTTGATGCTATCAAATATTCAGTTAATGTCCATTTTGTGCTTTCTAGTGATCGTGAAGATTGGAGATTTCATGTCGCACCTAAGAAAGATCACTGCATTTATGAAGGATATCAGGAACATATTGTGGAAGCAGTGAAGCAAGTTGAAACATTTTATATGTAGCTATGTCGAGTTAGGAACATTAACCAGAGGCGCTTGTAAGGAGGCAACCCAACATTTTCATATTTTAAATCACTTTATTTTATACTTAGTTTTATATTTATGCTTAGTAGTTTTTCTTGATTATTGAGCAGGTAATAATGAAAGTAGTGGCAGTAATAAATGGGCAAAACATGTTTGATTCTATGTCTGGCTCTCTAAATGGTTTTCCAATTTGCATATTCACATCACTTAATATTCACCATACCTACTCACCATTTCTCAGGAGAGTATTCTTTTTTTTTAATTTCTTTATATTATTGAGGACAATGTTGAATTTAGGTAGTGCTGGTTAATTATGTTCTTTTGTTTGTTTTGTTCATGAATGTTAGTAGTTATGTTTAGAGTAGTGTAACAATCATCTAATGCTACGTACAATGCTGCGGTGATATTTTGCAATCTTGAATTAATTGATGCAATAGATAAGTCTTGTGTAGAATTGGCCTAGTGTGATAAACAATAACCTTATGAGCTTTTGGGCCTAAAGATTGAGTTTTCATTGTCAATCTATTCCTCTTTGTTATATGATATCGTTCATAAATTTGTTACTCTAAAACTCACTCGGTGTCTTTCTTGAAGTTATCTTGGAATATGTATGATGAAAATGATTAAGGCCATCTTTATTTATCAAATTTTGACTTGAGTAAATGAACCAACCTTGGTATTGAACCTTTTGCTAGACCTGTTGAGCCAAATGACCATTTTTCTTGGTTTTCAAATTGTCCCCATCTTTAACATTTTAAACTCTTAATTCTAATCTTCATTTATCTTTCGTAACTAGTGAAGTATTTTTATGTTAAATGGATGGGTTATTTCTAGTGAATGGGGGTTATTTTGTTGAAAGCGTGTGGCGTTGATATATTGGGCAGGTTTATGATATTTGCACAAGAGGGAATTATGTTCAAAATTTGACAAGGATACAATAAATAAAAAGCTGAAAATGAGAAAACAAAAGAAGAAAAATAAAAAAAGGAAAAGAAAAGGAAAGAAAGTGTTTTTTTTCTTGTTATTAATAAAGAATAGAAAAGAAAGTATCCCTTTTCGTTATTAATAAAGAAAAGCAAAGAAAGTATCCTTTTTCATTATTAATATTCTCT